TGAAAATTATTAATGGGAAAATAAGAACTTAATTTTTTAATGCATCTACTTTTTCTCAGGTACAATACCAATCACTTTGCATCTTTTACCACAAATACTCTTTTTTTTTTTTGGTGGGACGTGGGGCCTGAACTCTGGGCCTGGGCGCTGTCCCTCAGCTCTTCAGCTCAAGGCTAGCACTCTACCACTTGAGAGTCAGCTCCAATTCTGGCTTTTCCTGCTTATGTGATGCTGAGGAACTGAACCTAGGGCCTCATGCATGCAAGGCAAGCACTCTACCACTGAGCCACCTTCCCAGCCCCACCACAAATACTCTTTACAGCAACCATCCTAGGCAGATATTATTCCATTTTATAGATAATGGAATGGAGTTTCAAGATCTCCAGGTATCATCATAGTACAGATTCAAGCCCCACTACATACTGCTCCTAACATTGTATTATACAATCTACATAAATTAACAAGTAAATTTAAATGATCATACCAAAAAACCTGAAAAATTTTGGCTCACCTCTTAAATATTTTTCTACATTTATTTACATAGCTCATCATATCCATCTTCTCAAACTAAGCTCTTTCAAAGTATTAGCTCTACTGAAGAAATCCTCAACCTCTCTAGCTATAAAATAAATGCAAATCAAAACAACATTGAGATTCCACCTTACCCAGAAGGGAACACTACTGCATTGTTGGTGGGAGTGTAAACTTGTTCAGCCACTTTGGAAAGCAGTATGGAAGTTCCTCAAAAGACTCCACATAGAGCTCCCTTATGACCCAGCAATCCCACTTTTGGGCATTCACCCAAATGATCACAAACAAGACCACGTTAAAGCTACCAGCACAATGATGTTTATTACAGCATTATTTACCATAGCTAAGATATGGAACCAACCCAGACAACTCTCAGTAATGAATGGGTCAAGAAAATGTGATATATTCTTTCTGCCTCTATCAGAAAGAATGACAGCCTCATTTGTTAGGAAATGAGAAGATTTGGAAAAAAATTGTATTAAGTGAAATAAGCCAGGCCCAAAGAAACATAGGTCCCATGGTTTCCCTTATTTGCAATAATGAGTTTATGTCTGGGACAAGCAGAAAAGGCCAAAAGCTATGTACATATGACCAGATAAGATGATGTTAAGTGAAATGAACCCCAAGATAGGGACACAAGTGGTTTTTTTCTTTCTTGTTATTGTTTCTAATGTATTTATAATGTACCATGTGATTTTTTTTTTGTTTCTTTGCTCCTCCCCCCACAATATAACCTGTTTTCACTGTATTTGATGTCGGTGCCCTGCATCTTGTATATACACTTCTCTAATTTGGGGAGGGGAAAGGAAAAAACAAATGCTTAAATAGGGACACAGGTTGACCCATTGTAACAGTGAGATGCACAATGCTGAAAAACAAACTTTACAATTGGGCGGAGGTGGGGGGATGTGGCTGTGGAGGTGGGAGGGAAGGGATGGAAGGGGAAAACCAAAGGAGAAGGTAACAGTGCTTGATAGGAAATATACTCATTACCTTGCTCATGTAACTGTAACCCCTCTGTACAGTATTTTTTACAATAAAAAAGTATAAAAATAACTTGGAATTTTAATCATAACTAACCTCTATTGAGAATCAAACCTTATACTAGGGGTTGCATGTATATTGACTCATTACTTACAACCCTGTGAAAATACCTTCTACTTTCCAGGTCAGAAGACATGTTCATGAAGGCTAACACACACAGAAGTGATGAATTTAGACCAGGAAATGCAGGATCTATTCAAAGCTAGAAGCAACAGTATCACTATAAGGCCAGATGGAACACTTTTTAGACTACAGTTTCCATATCCCAAATCATCTATGAAGGCAGGTTTTAAGTGTAATTGTGCCTAATATATGTTAGAGACCATCCACATATATTTTTCATTTTATCTTAAAACTTTTCTATGAGGGGAAATGATATATATGAAAGTTATCTACAAATACAGCAAAAGTCACTTGTTTTTTTGAAAACAACTTTACTGAGATATAATTGAAATATATAATTGCATATATTTGACTCACAATTTGATGTTCTTTTATATAGGCACACACTGTATAAAATGATCCTGTCAATCAAGCTAACAATTGTCAATTGGAGTTAACATTTGGGTGTGTTGAGAAGATTTAAGATTTACCGTCTCAGCAAATATAAAGTACAATATAGTTCATTAATGATCAATATTTGATTTCTAGGTATTTTTCATTACATAGGTAAAAGGGCACTATTTGACCTATCTGAGCTCATTTCCTTCTCCCTCTATTCCCTGGCAACCACCACCCTACTCTCTTCTGTGAATCTGACCACTATGGATTCTCATGTGAGATCATAAAGCATTTTTCTAAGTCTTGCTGTTTTTAACATAATGTCCTCCAGCTCCATCGATGTGATCACAAGTGTGATCACAAATACTGAGTAGTATTTTATTGTACAGATATACCACATTTCCCTTATCCCAGGAGTCAGTTTTATCTTTAGTACTGTGAATATTGCTACAATGAACCCAGGAGTGTAGGTATCTTTTTGTGATCCTGATTTCATCCCAAGGTAGGAGCATGAGAACAGATGGTAATCCTATTTTTTTTTTTAGAAATTTTCAAACTGATTTATTTCCCTTATCCTGGCAGTCAGTTTACCTTTAGTACTGTGAATTTTGCTACAATGAACCCAGGAGTGCAGGTATCTTTTTTTTTTTGGTAGTTCATGGGGCTTGAACTCTGGGCCTGGGCGCTTGTCCCTCAGCTCTTCAGCTCAAGGCTAGCACTCTACCACTTGAGCCACAGCGCCACTTCCAGCTTTTTCTGCTATATGTAGTGCTGAGGAATTGAACCCAGGGCCTCATGCATGCGAGGCACCACTGAGCCACCTTCCCAGCCCCTGCAGGTATCTTTTTGCAATCCTAATTTCAAATTCCTTGGATATATATCCCAAGGTAAGAGCACGAGAACACGTAATTCTATTTTTAATTTTTTTTTAGAAACTTTCAAACTGATTTCCCTAATGGCTATAGTATATAAAGGCTACTTTTTCTCATGCTGTTTCCTCAGGGGTTTTGGTGGTTGTTGTTATTCTAGTACTGGGCATTGTTCCTGAGTGTTCCAATTAGAAATAAGTGTCTCACAAACTCTCCTGCAATGGGCTGGCTTTGAACCCTGATCCTGAGATCTCAGGCTCCTGAATAACTAACTAGGATTGAGCCATCAGTGCCTGGTTCATTATTTTTGATAATAGCCATGCTAAAATGTGTGAAGTGATATTTTTAGTTTGCATTAAAAATGCAAAAGATGTTGAGCATCTTTTCATATCCTTATTGGCTACTTGATTTCTTTTGAGGAGTGTCTATTCCATGTTCTTTGCCAGAGTTCCTTTTATATTGAGGGTACTAACCATTATGGAAATACTTGGCAAATATTTTCTTCTCAATATAATTCCTAGTGGAGGAAGTGGGCCTCTTGCCTTGTTTTACATCTTAGAGGAAATGTTTTCCATATTTTCCCATTGATGATGCAATAGTTTGTGTCTTGTTTCCCCACAAAATCTGTATACATATAGTTCAAGGATTCTCAGATCTATTGAAAAGAGGTGGGCCTAACAGATTTGGTGTCCTTTTAGGGGTGTGCCTTTGAATTGCATTGTTTTTACTTACCATACTCATGAGCTAAACAGCTTTTTTCCACTGTGTTCTCCACCACAAAAATAAAAAATAAAAACGAGCCAATCAATCATGCTTGTAGTCTGAATATTTTGAGAGAGTAATGTAAGCAGTCAGCACAGATGTTAGCTGTGAGGCGTTCATGCTTGGCCTTCGCTGTGTTGAATAGATTCTGTATATACTTTATACTTTTTATCATGAAAGGTTAATATTGACAAATGAGTTTTTTACATCTATTGAGATCCTATGGTTTTGTATTTCGTTTTGTATTTCATCCTTTAACTATGGTATCACATTGATTTTTGTATATTAAACTATCACAGACTGAATCCCAGGGATAGATATTACTTGGCTATGGTGTATAATCCTTTAAAATGCTGTTGAAGTCACTCGATAACATATTGTCCCAAGAATTTCTGTATTTTTTCCTCATTACAAATTTGAATAAAATTTTCATGTACTCTTTGAATGTGGAACCAGGATGATGCTAGTTTTATAAAATGATTTTGAGAGTGTCTTCCTTTTCTAAGTTTGAGAAGAGTTGGTATTATTTATTCTTTGGCTATTTGGTATCATTTACCCATGAAGCCATCAGACCACAACTTTATTTCCTTGTGTACGGATCCAGTTCTGATTCAGTGACTATATATTTGTGCATGGTGTGCATAGCCATGAGAGTTGGTCACAGGCATCCATGTAGAGACTAAACTGAAAACCAGTATCAGGGTGTTCATAATGGAACTAGAAGGAAGCAGGAAACCTAGACGGGGGTCCATGAAGGTGTTAATACAGTTCCATGGGGAGTCATAACAGCCAGGGTGGTGACTTTGAGGGCTCTGTTCAACTAAATGGATAAACAGAAAGTGGTACGGTTGTACAACAGATTATTATTAAAAAGTAATAAAGTACTGAACCATAGAAGATGGAAAACATTATGCTAAATAAAATAGGTCACATAGTGAATAATTTCAATTATCTGGAATTCCAGAATAGGCAGAGACTAAGTTGATAAGTGCTTTCCAGAAACACTCATTTATTTGTGGGATCCATGATTTGTTTTGGTGTGATGGATATACTAAAAGAATTAACTCTATACTTTTAAGGGGTCTCAATAATGAGATATAATGAGAACTATTTGTTCCTGATTTTTTTCATCGAGTTTAATGTTTGAAGTCAGATTAAGGACTTCCTGATCATCTACTCTAATCAACTATTATAAAAATACTGGAATGTAAAAAAAAAGATCATTTATATGTGAGAAAACCAAGTTCCAAGAAAAATCAATGATAAGGTTATGTAAACAGACACAAATAAGACTTTCAGTATAACGGCATATATTTATTGCTTTGTTGAATTTAACAGTATTTTGCCTAAATTTTATGATTTTAGAAAAGAAAATACATGAAAAGCCTAACCAATTTTCATATTTAGTCCAATACTATTACCAGATTGATAGGGAATGCAGCATAAGGATAAGGAGATAAACATCTTTTCCCTTCTGTTTCCATCTTAAAATTTTTACTTTTTTCAAGACAATACAAGCATAACTACTCACAGCAATGGCAAAACCTGCCCTTCCCCTGTGGAATGAAAAATAATCAGACATTTATCCAAGATGCTACATATGTCTGTGAATTTTTGCCCTTCTGCACGGAGATGCTAACGGATCTTCAGGATATACGTTCCTCAAGTTTTGAGTGCTACCTTTTGCGCTCTTGCCATAACTCATGGAGACATAGGAGCAATGGAGAATTTCTGTGGTAGGACATATTATTTGTTCTTTGCACCTAACAGCAAATTCTAAATGCAAAAAACTTTTTAACCACAGCAAAACATACTGATGTCCCTTAATGTGTCTACTCAATGTTGACCTTCAGAAGCTTACGGTACAAAACATTATCACATACCTACACCAGAGGTTAACTCAGTACTCATGGGGTATTGCTTTTATCAGTCAGTGTTTTTGGGGGGAACTAGAGCACCAGGAGTGGAGGCTACAATTACAAATACTGTTACATGGTCAATGTAGGTTAGAAAATTCTGGGTTATTGCAATAAATATTTAAGATTAGTGCCAGACTACTAAATAGCAAATGTTTATACCATGATTTATGTTTCCCTTTTTCTTCATTGTTGTTTAGGTGGGGCTAGGGTCTACACCTTGGGGTCTTAATGCTTGCCAGGTAGATGCTCTTAATGCTGAGCCATACATGCAGCCCTGGTTTTTTTTTTTTTTTTGCCTATTTTTGGGATGACATTTTTGCTTCTTGCAAAGGTTTATGGTTAGGCTTCCTAGCTTTCTTTCAGAAGGGATGTTTCTTGACCTTTTGGCCTGGGCTGGCCTGGCAGAAATCTCAAGACTCCAAGTAGCTACTAAGTGAATCACCAGTCACTACAGTACTGTGATTTCCTACAGCTTCTTGCATAAGCTAGTCCGATGACTATGGGGACCCTATGTCCTAATTTGCTGGACAATGCTAGCTTATAAGCATTGCTCCAACATTAATAGTATCTCTCCTTTCCTGACTTATATGATCAATAAAAAATAATTACATCTAGTTGAGCACCAGTGGGCTCATGCTTATAATCCTAGCCACTAAAGGAGGCTGAGATCCAGAACTCAGTTTTAAGTCAGTCTGGTAGAAAAGTCCGAGACTCCATCTACAAAGTAACCAGTAAAAAATACGGCTGGAGGCATGGCTTAAGTGGTAGATCAACAGCTGAATGGCAAGCTAACTGAACATAAGGCCCTGAATTCAAACTCTGGTATCATCAAATAAAAGTGACATTTATATTCCTACAACAATCTTATATCACTGTGGTTCTGGTTCATAGAACTCAATTCGTTTTACTTCATTTTCTTCATTTGATATCTGGGAAAAGTAAAGACCATGAAGTTCAAGAGACTAACCATGAATTTCAAGAGACTAAATTAAAATAAAAGTAAAGCCTAGGACTCCTAGAGCTCCTATCTCTGATATCCTTTTTTGATCTAACAAATATATATGTATATATTTTCTTCTCAATTTTTTTCTCAACATAAAAGCCAACTAGTGCCACATTCCAATTTCATTGCAATAAAGTGTAAGTAATGCTCTTTTGTTTTTTGAAATCATAACTGTGGAATAATGGAGTCAATGAGAAAACATTTTAAAGTCAACTCTAAGCTTGAGATCCCCTTTTCATAAATTCATTAGAGTTTCTGATACTTTCCGTGTGTCTCTTGCTTAAAAGGTGTTTGTTGGGGTCAAGGATGAGTACCTAATTTTTTAACCAGCCAAAAGATTTTTGAGTGCCTCTTAAAAAGCACCTTGCTATGTTATTTTATTCTTAGTGGTTCCAAAGGTCCTCTTTAAAAAATGTTGTTTGGTTTTGATTATTATTCTTTAGGGGTTAGTATTGGTATTTGAACTTGGGTCAAGGTACTTTCAGGCTAGGTATAGTCCACTTGAGATAAATTTCCAGTAGTTTTTGCTTTTTGTGTGTGTGTGTGTGTGTGTGTGTGTGTGTGCGTGCGTGCGTGCGTGCGTGCGTGCGTGTGTGTGTGTGTGTGTGTGTGTGTTTGGTAGGTAAGTCTTGGACTACATTTTCCCTGGCTGGCCTCAAACTGTGCTTCTTCCACCTCTACCTCCTGAACAGGTAGAATTATCATGCTCTACTTTGTTTTGAGACTGTCTTTCATTAGCTTTACCTGGGTGACCTCAAACAATGATCCTACAGGTAAGCACCAGCAAATCCTTCCAAGTGTCCTTTAAAGTGAGAGTGCTATTGGCTTGGGGCATAACTATGAAAATGCCAATGAAGGAAAATTTCAATAAAATTCTTCATTCTTTTTGAGTTTCTGCTCACTTACTAGCAAGGATTAGTTTCCAATTTTGTTTGCATGAAAATCTATGAAGAAGAATTATTTATTCATATTTTGGATAATATATGGCTATTAGCAGTCCTTCCAGAGAAGGAGTGAGCGATTAGATGAACTTGAAAAAGAAAGCTATTTTTATGGGCTAACAATATAAAAATTGCTTTTCTGAGAAAGAAAAGTGAATAGTATTAAACAGGGTTTCAACTTGTGAGATTCATTTCTGTAGAGTGTGTCCTTTTGCATATTATCTAGAAGGTGAGTTCATATTAATTCTTTCCCATACAAGATAATCAGCCCAGCAGATGAAAGGAAAATTACAAGGTGATAAAGGTATAACATTTTTGGAGAGGATTTGTCTCTTATCAGTAGCTGGTGGTGTCAGATGCAGGCTGTGAAGAATCCTTGCCAAAGACTGCAAGCTGAGATGTGCTGCCGAGGTATGACATCTAGACACAGCACAATCTTCTGTCATAACAAGGCTTGCCTAAGCTAATTTACCACCGGAAGTATGTACTTGATTCAAGTCTAACTACTCAGTGAACCACCTGTTTTTAAAGAAAGGAGTACAGATTTTGATCACATGAAACTTTTCATTAAGAGGCTAACATGGACACTCATACAGTTTATGGTGGGCGGTCTCAGAAGCTTTCTTGTGTATGAGAAACGGAGCTACAGGCCTTTTTGTATAAGTTCCTGTACATCTTGTCCATGCTGTTCTCAAACATGGGTCGGTGGGATTTTCCCTTGTAAGAAGCTGCCCTGTTGGACCAGTACTCGCTGTCATCTAAATGGAGATTGCCACGTGGCCGCTGAAACGAGCTATGGAAAAGGGCAAGAAAGGATTAGAACACTTCTTTTACAAAGGAAGAGGGATTATTATTTAGCAGCATATGGTGGGATGGAAACTAAATGGTCTTTCAATATGACTGTCTACCAGTAAAATTTTTGTGCTATGGAGCTGTTAGACTAAGGGATGGAAGCAGCAGGTTGCCATAGACTCCCATTGTTCTAGCCCAATGCTTCTCAATTTGTTATAGGTCTTTTGTCAAAACCCACATTTCTAATGGGGCACTAATGGCTCACACCTGTAATCTTAGCTACTCAGGAGACTGAGATTTGAGGATCAAATTTCAAAGCCAGCCCAGGCAAGAAGTCCATGAGACTTTCCAATTAACCACCAAAATCTCCAATTAAGTACCCCCAAAAAGGCAGAAGTGGGGCTGTGGCTCAAGTGGTAGAATGCTAGCCTTGATCAAAATAGCTCAGGACAGACAAACCTACAATTCTGAAATTGATAATAATGTCCAGTTTTGCTATTTCTTTAGGGAGATGGGATTTTCTGGGCTCCCATGTCAGTGGGAGTCTGATTCCCGCTTGGACTTCCACTGATGGGAACCTCAAGGCTCTCAAAGGGGTAATTTCTTTGTGTTCTCTCAGCTTTGAAAAAACATGAAAGTGACATCTTTGCCTGTATATCATAGGAATCAAGGATAAAACTAAAATAATGTACTGATTTTAGCAGCTTTTGCAGCTAATGTATTAAAAAGAACTTTTAGAAAGAGGTTTTCTGAAGGACTGACAAACCATCCTATTCATCCAAGTATGCACACAAGAGAAATAGCAAGGGTTATAATTACTAAAAAGTGCAAACAGAACTTTTCTGGTACTCTGCTTTACTCTCTTATTACAGAGACCTAAGGGATCCAAAGGCTCAGTCATTAACATTGCTTGGTGAACTGGAAAAACAATGTTGTGGTTTATAGCAAACTTTAACTCAAGAGCAGTGCTTTTCAAAATGTGGTCCTCATACTACCTGTATTATAATCATCCATGGCATTTCTTCAATGAAGACTTTTAGCTCTCAGAATACATGGGGACAGGAGTAGAATGCAGAATGTAACCGAGGTAATGAGGTAGCCAAAAATTTGAAAATCAGAGCCTTTCCAGTATAAACCCTATTTCTACTCCTCCCTTCTCAGTCAGAATTAACTATATAGGTTAAATACTTAAAAGCAGGATGATGAATAGAGCTTTAAGAAAGAACAATAAAAATTAAAAACAATCTCCTGTAAGATGTGTGCTTTCTGAACTTTCCTCTTCCTCTTTGGATTTTCTCCTTCAAATACATCTGCAATGCATACAACTTTGGTTTTTGTTTGTTTATCTGTTGTTTGCAGTGATTGGAACCATCCCAGGGCTTCACACATGCTAAGCAAGTGCTCTACCAACTGAGCAGGTAGAACAACTTTTTGAAAAGGACATCACACTCACATTTATGCTCTTGGGCATGTAGTAAAGGAAGATGCCCCTACATAATCATAGATGAGACTCATTTCCAAGTACCCAGTAAGAAACTGGAACTGGAGGTGTGAGTCAAGAGGCAGAGTGCCAGTGCCCAGTGCTAGTGTTGAAATGTTGGGAGAATATAATCCATTCTTTGTTCCATTATTTGGAATTCTCGTATCTGTTCCTCAGGAATCTCAGGAAGGTAATAATAATCAGTGGTATAGCAGCAAGGATTCAGGGAAGCTTTGACTCATGATTTGCTGTTTTAAGTCTGAACTTTAGGGCTATTGACAGTTTTCAAAATGGAATTTACTAATATAATCATGCAAAAATATTACACTAACATTCCTGAATTACATATTGACAAGTAATACATATTGACAAACTTGTCAGTAAAAACGTCTCACAAATTCAGAAGAAAAAGCAGCTAGTGATTTTTGTGTCAGTGGTGGGGAAGGTCATTACACACAGTTACTCAAACACATACCTATACTCAGGGTCACTGTCGTAGGCAGAGTCTCTGTATAAAAGACCTCTTTTTAGCTCCAGTTCTTCATCTTTCTCTGGGTCTCGCTCATCCTGAAAAATTTAAAAGACATAGACCATTCATTTTCTCATTGCTTTTGACATGATGCTTCTGCTTCTTTGGGAAATATTCTTCATTTTAGGAAATTGTGTTAAATACTTAGGAAATTTCTTAGGAAGTAAAAAGATTGAGAATTATCCCTTTGAATAAAACTATAATTTCATTATATACACTTCTTCATCAACACATGAATAAAAATCATACCATGTCAAAATGTGTTAAATTATGTGGATTACAAAGGCAATAACTTAGGTTTGTTCATCACAAGGTAACATGTAATAATAAGGCAAGTCAGTTGACATGAAGACACACTGCATTCCTTCCTTGGTGGGCAACATGTTTTAACTTCTACTAGACGTATACAAGGTTGTAAGAAACAGGATTCCTGTTAGTAAAAGCATCAGAAGTCTGCTCAGACAATATTAGTGGTGTTGACATTCCTAAGAGGAGATAACCTCAAGAGGAGAGCTAATGGTCTACAGCTGGGTTTTTCCTTGTGGATGCTGAGAGCACAGAACAAATGTCAAGAATACCAGTGCTTTGTTCAACCACAGGTCCAAAGCAGCAAGGTTCTGGCAGTCTCATGATACTAGGCAGAAAAATTAAAGATCTAAGAGGTCAGACTCCAGTGGTACATGATGGGGGTGAGAGTGGGAGAGGCAAGGGAGGAGGTGTGGAGGTGGGGAGGAAAGCGATGGTAGGGGAAATATAAAGGAGGATGTAACAATGCTCGAGAGGAAATGGACTCATTATCTTCTCATGCAACTGTAACCCCTCTGTACAGTACAGTACAATATCTTTACAGTAGACTATATATATCTTAAAATTAAAAAACTAAGAGTCACATAGAATGTCTGCAACTGCAGAGAGGCAACAATGGCTAAGTTGAAAGCCTCTAAGACAGGAGAATGCTTTATGTATTCTTGCCTGAGATGGTAAGTAATGTATACCATGTCAGCAAGGACCTGGAATCACAGTAAAACTAGGTTAAACACATGATGAGCTAAAACGAAAACTCAATAGTGTTCTGAAGGTTTCACTTTGGAATACATATTTAAATATGGGATATGGAGAGCGCTCCTGTGCAGACAAACTTCTTTTTACCATCTTTTCTAGATGAGATACATTAACATGGGTAACTAACATTATGTTAGTTCACAATTTTATTTTCTACTCTTTCCAATAATTTACTTTTCAGAACATGTTGTATTAGTCTACATTTCTTCTAATCTCTTATCTGTGACAAATTCCTCAGTCCTCGTTACTTATAATCTTGAGAACTTTTTAATTTAATATTTTTTATTAATGTATCTTAATTGTATAAAGGGATTTCACTGCATATAATCTACTTTGATCAAATCCACTCTTTGATCAAATCCATTCCCTCTGCCCAGCATGTGGCCTTCCTTTTTAGTTGGTCTCACTCTATTTTCATACACACATACAAAGTACTTTGATTACAGCCACCCATCTCCTCTCCATTTTTAAATGGTTAAATTTTAGAGCTTCCTATACATTCTGGATATTAATCCTTTCCCTGCTGAATTTCTGGCAAATATTTTCAATCATTTTATAGATTACATTTTACTTTTTTTATTGTGAAAATACAGATGGGCTATAAGTATATGGGTACATTTCTTATCAAGCATTGTTGCCTCCTCCTTTGTTTCTCCTCCCTATCTTGATGAAATATCATTTGATGTGCAAATGTTTCTTTGGAGTACTTTGAGGTTACTTATGAATTTTGGGATTTTATTTATGTAAAGATGACAGATTTTATGGAGATTTCTTTGAATCTGTAGATTATTTTTAGGTATAAATAGTTTCAAAATATTAATTCTGTGACTTGACAAGACTTAACAGCTTTCAATACTCTTTCCTTTTCCTTTATACCTAATCTTTTAACATGCCTTTCAAGTTTAACATGCCTTTCAAGTTATTTTCTGGTCTTGCCTTTTTGGAATCCTAAATGACCTTCTATATCTAAATGACCATCTCTTTCCCAAGATTTAGGAAGTTTTCTGCTGTTACTTGAACATATTTTCTATGCTTTTGGTTTATAATCTCTCTCCATCTTCTACACCCATGATTTGTATGTTTTGTCTTTTAATAATGGCTCAGAGATTTTGCATGTTCAGATTATCTCTATTTTCATCTAAATGTCCTAATACATCCTGTCTTAAACTTAATAATCTGTTTTAAATTTGATACAATCCACTGGAGAGACTTTCAGCCATATAAATATAATATATATAATATATAATAATATTATAAACACACACAGGTGGTACTAAAGATTTGAAGTCAGGGCCTTGCACTTGCTATGTTAAGACTGAGCGTGTCACACCTCCAGCCTTGTTTTTCTCAGTTCAAGGAATGGCCTGTACAATGATCTGTCACTTTGGGGTGGGGGAGGGGACTAGGATCACAGGTTTATGCTACTTTGTGACCTTCTCATATAGTTTAAGATGTGACAGGTGTGTGCTTCTCTGCTCAGCTATGGATTGAGATCAATTTTTCTGTTCAGGCCAACTTTGAACCAAGTTTCTCTTTTTCTCAGCTCAGTTTTTTCATCTGTTTTTGAACTTTTCATTTCCAGAACTTCATTTGTTTACAGAATTTCTATATTTTCATTTTATACAGTATCTTAATTTCATTTAGCTCTTTCCATTCTTGTAGAGTTAATTCAGATACCTATTTTTATTAATCATCTTTATATAATTTTTTTACTTTAAGATTTCATCTATTTCACTATCATTAGTGTTTTGCATTTCTTGAGTTTGGGGAGAATAATGTTGCTTTGATTTTTCAGCTTTTTTGTGTTTCTGCATTGTACAACAGAGACCAAGTTCTTGGAAATTTTAATCGGTCTTTCAGTTAAAACATTCTCAGTGTTCTAGTAGTATAGTGTTATAGCAGGGGTTGGAGGTACTGGACTAAGGGGTCACTCATGTTTAGGACACTTTGGCTTGAATTCCAGCAGTAATGAGAATGAGGAAAATTACCTGGAGTTTCGTACAGCTGGAGGAGGCTACAGAGTGCTTAGACCCTGCCTAGCACTTCATGTCTCCATGGGGTTAGGAAGCTATGGAGATCATATAATTCAGGGTCTGAAGTCAGGTATTTCAGATTAACCTGAAGCCAACATGTGTAGCCAGAATGCAGGATCTAGAGGCTGAATTATGCCAGCCACCTGTTCAGCACTGTTTCTCCTGCAACCCTCAGACATTTAGCTTCACTATTCATCATGGAGGGCAGACCTCTGACCACTGCACTCATGCTCCTCAACACTTGAAGCTCTCTGCAGGTTTCTTGTCAGACTTTCTCCCTCTCCATAAACTCCAACTCAGAGACTATAACAGGATGATCCAAGACTTTCTGAGCCATAACTGACTATTCCTTGTTTTCAAGCCCCAAGAGTAAGGCCTTTATACAAGAAAAAGGAAAGAATCTTTCTTGACCAAAGACAGCCTTCCACACCAGCCCAATCACTAGCTCACTTTCACTAGGTATAAGGATTTTGAGAATTGTAGTCTTATCCTAAAATTAGAATTCTCAGTCTGTCACCAGGGATCTCTGGCTTATGATTTGATCTTTAGGTTTCTCAGGTAATTTTGTTATCCTAATTATAGAAAGCTTTCAAAAGAAAAGTTTAGAAACTAACATATAAATGCCTTTGATGAGCTTGATGTGATTTCAAGACATCTTTTACCCGGTCGTGGATCTCATCACAGTTTGGTGAACACCAATCAGAATGGAATCTGTAGGCATTAAAAACAAGAAATTTATATTAGAGGGAAACATATTATTCCCAAATTTCAGAGACAAGATGTGATTTTTTTTCTTACTCTTGTGTGATTTAATGATTAGTTCTTTATAATAAATTTAAAGATAGAAGCATTCATTTTAGAATAGTCTCCTGCACATGTGAAAGGAAGTTCAACTGCATCTATGCAAATACAATGGGAGACTGTTGTTTATAATCTATGTAAACAAATCTTGGAAATGTGTGGGGGGCAGCGGGAGATTGGGTGGGAGGGTGGGAGGAGGATGGGAAGGGATGGGAAGGGGAAACAAAGGAGGCTACAATGCTTGATGAGAAATGTACTCATTATCTTGCCCATGTAATTGTAACTCCTCTGTACAGTATTTTCACAATAAAAAAAATTAAAATTAAAAAAAAACAAAAAAAAACAAATCTTGGAAATAAGAGATCTACCTATGCAGCTCCAAGTGGAACTCTTCAATATTATTATAGAATCCACTAGTCTGTGCTGTGGTATAAGGAATGTTTATCACTCATTAAATTGATTTATAAAGGTAAAAACTAAGCATGATGCAAAAAGTATATGAGCTAATTAGGTGTGCCAATGTTTCTTAAGAGTTGTGAAGTCTAATATATTTCAATTCATAAAATATTAATATTTATTCTTCAAAGAAATAGAATTCTGAAACAAAACTAAATACAAAACTGTATTTTTAAAAGGCTCAAGAAAGCACCTTTACTACAATATTCAATTGCTTATGTCTATTGATAAATGTTTCTTAAAATTTTGTTTATTAATAGACATGATTAAGGAGTTATCATTTTAGACATGATTAAGGAGTTATCATTTTACTACAATATTAGTTTACTTAACTAAAAGAGTTTATCTGCATAAATATTCATTGAAATTAAGTAAATTACTTCTAATTTAGATAAACTCTTATGGTTATGTTGGCCATATTGCTTCTAGGCAAAACTACAATTTTGTCTGGTATATAAAATATATATTTGTGTCAGTTTAAATTGTTTATTGATTCCAGAGGTTATATATAAACACCCTGCAAATATACTACTAATTACCTTGGAAAAAAAATTAGAGAATGTCTTGTATTTAAAGATGAGGTACTAAGGATTGAAAAACAAAATGTTTGTTGTATTTAAGTAATGTATTAAAGATATATTTTATAATACACCAAATCTAGATCATTTTATGAAGATGCACAGATGTTTTACTGTAGTGAAAATAAAAAAATGTTTGTGTGTGCCTGAGAATATATCAATAGAATTTTAGATGATATATTTAAATGAGTTCCAAACTACATTGCCATTATATTTTTATTTTAGAAACAACTACGTTGTTTTTCTGTTTATCATTAAAAGCACCCATTTTATTCTAGTAAAAAAAAGTGTGCATAAAAATATGGTATAAATGTGAGTTATCCCCAGCATTGAAATATAAAGAGAATGACTGATTTTAGCTAGATCATAACTTCAACAAAGATTTCTCAAACTGAAAAAGGCAGGAGCCAAACATGGAATGAAATTGTGAACATGTAGCGAGACTAAAATTGAGGATAAAGAATAAAATTGAGGCTACCACTGTAGTATTGTGATGGTTTTATAATTGGAAAGGACCTGATCAACAAAACCATTCCCTGATTCAAAATCAGGGAATACCAGACTTCAGCAAGAAAGCTCTCATTTTTTTTTTTTTATGGCAGTGGGGAGAGGGGTGAGAAAACAGGGGAAAGGGGAGTTGTGGGAGGAAAGGGAAAAGGTACCAATCCTGGGACTCGAACACAGGGCCTAGGAACTGTCCCTCAAGACCAGCACTTACCACTTGAACCATAGCTCCACTTCCACAGTTTTTGGTAGTTTTAGTAGAGATAATAGTCTCACAAATTTTCCTATCTGGACTGGCTTCAAACTTGGATCCTCAGATCTCAGCCTTCTGAGTAATTAGGATTACGTGCATGAGCTACCAGCACTCAGTTTCTTTTGAACTTTGGATGGCTAATATGTCTCATATATGTTGAAGGTAAATAGATGAAATCATCTGTTTGTAAAAGGGTGCCTTCAATATAGCAGCCAAACATACTCTTGTTCAAGTTACCAGTTTTGAGCTGTACTTTTCATATATTCATTATTAATTATGTCCAATGACCCTAATATACTATAGGATTTAATGGCTAACTCTAGATTTTGTATACCATGCAAATATGCTAAATTTTCAGCTTGTAAAAAGTGGGGAAAAAATGAAAATGTCAGTTCTTCAATTCCTATGTACAATTTAAAATAACCTTTTCTATGTTACTGTGATGAGGCAAGGAATTTCCTATTTTGCTTTTGAAAAACTTGTATGAAGAGAGATTATTTCATTTATATCCAAATTTTCCAAGTGTCTGGCTTGGGTTGACAAAACACCAGAAAACTGGAAGTAGCTCAAGTGGCAGAGTGTTCACCTTGAGTTAAAGAGCTCAGGGACAGTGCCTATGCCCAGAGTTCAAGCCCCAGATCCACCAAAAAAAAAAAAAATAGAAAAAGAAATAACTGTTGAACAGGCAGATGTTTTCTGTTTCTATTAGACTATTCAAAGGATTAGTGTCAAAACAGACTACCCATTACCTGTCCCTGAGAGAAGCTCGATTTAACATGGGGCTTGGGCAATGCTTTGGCACTGATGAGGGCGCTGAGTGGACTAGTAAGGTCCTCGTTGAATGCTGGGGCTTCATACATGGCCTGGAGCCCAAATAGTCTTCACACCTTTCTAAAGAGTCATCGAAGTCTCTTCCATGGGGTGTCCTGATAACCTGTTTAAAAATATGTATATATGTTTCCATATCTAGATCTATTTACATAGATGTGTATCTACATATCTCTATGGACACACAGTATCTATGTATGCAAAAGGTTTTTGAATAAGAATTGGGTTGGCATAAAGGTGGGTATATATAAAAAAAGAACACATATTAATAAAGTAAATGATAGCCTACTTAAGCTTCATTTCATTTGTTCTGGGAATGGACAAATACAGAAAGATAGAAGAATTACTTTCTCCCCTTGTAGTCTTTATATTCTAGTAAAATGTATACTCAGGCAAGGAGAGACAGGCTTAAAGCATATACCTATCAAGATGGTCAAGCACAATGAAAGTACTGCTTTGCCAGCTATTCATTTGATGGTGGACTAATCAAGAATAAGTAAGGGTATCAAAGAAGTTATCGACAAACCAATAAGCACTCCAGTCAAAAAATTGACAAATGACCTGGAGATGCTTCTGAAAAGAAGTACAAATGGACAATAAATACATGGGAAAATGTTCATTATCTTTAGCTACTAAGGAAATGCAAAGTAAAATATATTGAGTTTTTTCCTCACCGTCAAGACTCTCAATAGAAGATGTGGAAGTAAAGGAATCCTTACACACTGTTGTTGGGACTGTAAAGCCACCGTGGAAAACAGTATGGGGTTCTTCTAAACACTAAAAATACAGCTACCCTACAATCCAGCTATATCCTTTCTGGAGATAAGTTTGAAGATACTGAGAGTTATAACATATATATTCTACATAACCTTTATTGCAGCACCTTCCACAAAACAGCAAGCTATGAAATCAGCTTTGGCATACATCAATATATGAATGCACACAGAAAATGTAGTGTATGTATAATACATGTATGGATGTATTAAAACATACACTATGTAACATTGAATCAGGAAAATTATCTGAGCTTTTCAAGTTTTTAATCAGAAATCCTCAGTTAGTGTGGTATTTCTATCATTGCTTATAAAGAAGAGAGCATACCTCAGACAAAGTCTGGGCAAATACCAATATCTAGGTAGGATTTAGTAGCATTGTTATATCTTTTTCAAAGCTAGCACCTATTGAAATATGACACTGCTCTTTAATTTATAATACTGAGATAAAAAGTAAATAAAAAACAAAACAATACTGTGCGTTAAAATTAACCTCTCTTCTTTCTCTTATACGAACACAAACACTGAATAATTAATCCAAATGAATAATCAAATCCACAAAAGACTTGTTCGAAGACATTTTGTTAAAGGATTGACTATTTTGATCCACTTGACATAACAGCCAAAATAATGACATTCCATGATGTGACAATTATTTTTGTATTTTTTACTAAATAAATATGATAATCCTCGTGTAGTTGTATATGAGAAATCTATTTATGCTATTGTCTAAAATCCAGGACAATTATGCTTCTGTCATTCATTTGACAAACCTTATAATCCTTGGCACGACAACAGCCAACATGGGAATGGTCTGAAAAAGAAATAAAATATAAATATAACATATTTGTTTTTACCTTTGATGTTAGTATCACTGGTGAAATTGTTATTCCTGGCTTATAGAGAGCTGCCTTCTAGCTAATTCCTCATGTATCATGGAGAGATAGCAACACACATACAAGAAAACATAGTGGGAAGGTGGGAGAAAGCGGCAGGAAGAGAGGGTGAAGGAAGGGAGAAAGGGAGTGTGGGGGAGGGAGGAATAGAGAATAGTTCTCTAGTCTTTTCTTACAAGGGCATTTAAGCCCACCACAGTGCATATAAATCTAATCACTAAAGGTTTCAACATATATTTATATGATACAATTCAGTCTATAGTAATGTAATGTCTTTCAAGTGTGAAAAGCATATAAGAATTATTTGTACTATTACTACTTATGTTAAAAGCTAAAGATAAAAATACATTCATAGAGGTTAAACCCTTGCAACATGTCTTTTTTTGAAATATAAGCATATTATAATTATATGGAAAGTTTATGTTTACTGATTATGTGCAAAGGTATTTTATATGGTAATATTTCCATTATTCATTAATTAATAAACTAATTATCACAGTAGTCAAAATGGCTTTTTCAAGGATGCCAAGTTTATAAATAAGTGGTAAAGACAGGATTCAAGTATATGTCTAAATATATGTCCCAAACCCTAACCCAAAGCTCTTCTCACTAGTGTTTCCCTAATGCGGTAAACTGAGAAAGATGTTCCTTAGGCAAGTTTAGAAGATGTCTAGAAACAAAATCAAGTTTTTTGAATAGAAGGTAATACAGTCTTCATTATGTTAAAATTTACTATGAGTATGGTTTGTAGCAGGAATCTTTTTTCTTAGCTGGTCCTGGGGCTTGAACTCAGGGCCTGGATTCTGCCCCCGAGATTCCTTTGCTGAAGCCTAACACCCTTATCACTTCAGCTGCAGTGCACTTCCAGCTTTTTCTTAGAAATAAGATTCTCACGGGCTGGCTTTGGACCACGATCCTCAGATGTTAGCCTCCTGAAAAGCTAGGGGGAATTAAGAAAGCAACTATGTGGATATCCTAAATAAGCTGTAAAAAGCTACACTTCACACCATGTTGTTAATAATGCAGCAAAGATTCTGTTTTCATTTGATCAGTGCCATGTTGAGGCCCTGGCTACAGTTGAGACAAATAAAATAATGAAGATAACTTCTACTAGTTTACCATTGTGCATTCTGGCCCATCCATCTCTTTCACAGTCTCTGCCAGAAGATCCAAACACAGCATCAGCCCTGGGACTTGGAGGATCAACCTAAGGGAAGCAGAATTTTGGAAGCAAAAAGAGTTTAACTGTTCGCAGTCTCAATATCATAGTTCCAGGAAAACTACTAAGGTATATATACTAGTTACTAAACAAAGTAAATCAAAACCACAATTAGATACCATTCTATATCCACTGAATGAAACAGGACTGGTTTAGAGCTCAGAATTAGAACACTTGCCCAGAATGAACGATACCTTGGGTTCAACTCTACTGCCACCAGGAAAAAAAAAAACATTCTTTTTAAATTTTAAATTTTAAAAACTCCCTAAAGAGTTGGAATGGTGTGGGACTCCCTTTTCATCAAGAAAACTTGGCTGTTTATAAAATCCTACTTTGACATTTTAATATTAATGTCCATTAAAACCTAGATCAACTTTTAGAATTTTGTTTTATGTCCATTGTATAAGAAAGGAAATGGGTTCTTAAGAGGATTCATAATGGAGCTTGATCTCTTCCATAGTTTTTAAACTTTCAAGTTAATTTTCTATTTTAGATTGCTGGTTAACAATTCAAGAAAGAAAACTATATAAACTAAAAGTTGAAAGTCACTTTGGAAAAAATTTAATGGCAGAAAAGACAATCCATTTGAAATGGAAATGTTTAAGTGAGCACCTACATGTCTAATCACAAATGGAGGCTTATCTGTTTCTTTTTTGAATTCATATGGTCCCAGATTTAAATGGGCCAGGCGCCGCCTGGTGTCTTCAGATAGCTCACACATGCGTCTTTTTGTGTAGGGAGATGGAGAGTGAGATTTTGAAGAAATTGTAGGCTGTTCGTAGCTTTTTGCATTTATGCAATACTTATTTCTATCAGGTGACTTGGATTTTTTCTTTTGTGATCTTGATGTTCTGCTTTGCAGTCTGCCATGTGATTTTTCAACTGGAGTTGAATGGTAAACAAATTTATCCTAAACATAAAAAATAAAAATTAACTTAGGTAGAAAGCATTTTCAAGGCATCCTACAGGTAGAGAAAAATACAAAGCTATCAAAAGCCAACTATGCCAGTCCCTCCTGTCTGCTGATTCTTGGGGGAGGTCAAATTTATGTGCTCCTAGACAACTCCTTGTATAGTAAGTGGTAGTGAATACAGTTTATAGTAGCAAACTTCCTTCTTAAGTATTAAAGGGCTTAATAAAAATAGAAGTCCAATAAACTTAATTATATGGAAAAATTAATGTAAACTTTGGTGATACACATTTTAATTAAATTAATTACATAGTAAGTTATATGAGTAGAATTATAAGGTTCTCTACATGCTATAAATTTTCAACTAAATGACAGACAACCATTTTATATCTGAACCCATGAACCCACAGGGTTTTTGGGTGTTTTTTTTTTTTTTTTTTTGCCAGTTCTGGGGCTTGAACTCAGGGACTGGGCGTGTCCCTGAGTCCCTTTGTGATGAAGGCGAGGGCTCCACCTCTTGAGCCACAGCATCACTTCCAGCTTTTGTTGAGTAGTTTATTGGAGATAAGAGACTCGGACTTTTCTGTCCCTGCTGGCTTTGAACCATGATCCTCAGATCTCAGCCTCCTGAGTTACTAGGATTACAGGTGTGAGCCATCAGTGCCTGGCTTGAACCAATGTTTTTATTTATTTTTTTTATTTAACTTTATTGTTAAGAGGGGTTACAGTTACATAATACATAAGGCAGTGAGTACATTTCTTGTCCAACATTGTTAGCCCCCTCCCTCATTTCTCTCCCACTTTTCCTCCCCCCCAAAACCCCCCACAAGTTGTACAGTTCATGAAGATGAATAAAAGTCATGTCTCTCAGGGCTGGGAAGTTGGCTTGGTGGTAGAGTGCTTGCCTTGCATGCATGAGGCCCTGGCTTCGATTCCTCAGCACCACATAAGCAGACAAAAAAATCAGGAAGTGGTGCTATGGCTCAAGTGGTATAGCGCTAGCCTCGAGCTGAAGAGCTGAGGGACAGCACCCAGGCCCAGAATCCAGGCCCCACAACCGACATGTCTCTCAAGGCTTTTCTGCCCCTGGCTGGCTTGGAACTGTGATCCTCAGATTTCAGCCTCCTGAGTAGCTAGGATTACAGGCATGAGCTACTGATACCCAGCTTGGACCCATATTTTTATAAAAAACAAAAATGGGTAAAAATCATGTTATAAACTTTAACAACTATCTGGTTACCAGTCTAAAGTTTTTAAGATGAAAAAACAAATTTGAGCTGAGTGTGATGGGGTACATGCCTGTAGTCCCACCCAGTTGGGAGCCTAAGGTTGAAGAGTAGCCTGAACAAGTTAGTATCTTATCTTAGGCAAAATGAGAAGGAAAATCAATTTAAGAGCTCTAATTTTTGTGTTAATAGTTCCCCCCTCCAAATATACTCTTTCCTATAAATGCCTTACGAGTTGGATTATATGTAAATAATTTAAGATTTCTTCATGTATTGGAATTATAAGAAGCTTTTCAATTAGGAATTGAGAATGTCGTTCAAAAACTTTAAATGTCTAACTTTTAATCCTTTTAAAAATTATCAATCCTACTTCCTTTGCTAGATTCACAATTCACCCCCCTCTTCTTAAAAAAAAAAAAAATCGAAACAAAAACCAAACATGAATTGAAGGGAGAAGATTCAACATACAGGAATGAAGGCAGGTCTAGTGGCTCCCTGCAGCCCCGGTGGGAACCAAACTGTTTCATCCATCTTTCTTTCTTTCTTCTGCCATCTTTGATGTGATCCTTCCTGGGCCTTGTCCGAATGTCCAATAGCCTCAGGACCTACGGACCTTCCTCTATAGCTTCACCCACCTCTGTGACATCACTTGGGGGTGTCACAGAAGGCAGTGACTCACAGAAGGAGGAAATTCTAGCACTAGGAAGGATTTTTGAGGCTGCCAAAATACTCAAGCAATGAATCTTTCCAAGACCCTTAGCTGGAATTCTTGATTTCTACTGTATTTTAGAATTCATCACTATCAGACCCATAGTCTCCTTCACTGGGAGGAAAATCTCTTCCTCATCAAAACTTTGAATCCTTTGCCTACTTTTATTTTCATGGAATTTATTACTTTTGCTACCACCTCAGTCCGTATGTTTCTTTCCCCTCGTTCTTCATAGGCTTTTAGTGTCCAGGCCGAAATAATCATTTCAACAATGTTTAAAGTTCCTTCTTACACACCTATCTCTGACTAAACCGTAAGCAACCAATTCTATCTTCTTTATTAAGGGTTTTTACTGTTCTATACTACTACAGGAAGTTATAAACCGTATTATCTGCTACAAATGGCAAGCTAATGAAACATAAAATAGCGGCCTTTACACTGGTCACAAAATGACTTCCTCTAGCCACATCTAGGACAATTTCTCTTAGGAAGCCCCAGATGAAATAAAGATCATCAGAAACCATAGGTCTTGTTCTAATGAAAATGTCTGCCAAATGCCAGGCATGAAGTCACCCTAAAGCACTCAGCTTTAACCCTCAATCCAGACCAAAAAACCATCCCCAGTAGATCCAGTGTTACTGTCTTAAGCCACTAAATTAGTGAGGATTATAACAAACTAAAGTCAAGAGTGAGCAGATTAATACACTTATTAAGATGGCATCAATCTTTTAATATTTAATAATTTCACTTTTCAGCAGGTAACTAAATAAGAAAAACTACTTTCCCCCCAAATTATGCTCGTCAGTCCATTAAATGGGTCATGAAACATTCTGAAACTAAAGTACAAGAGAATAAGGATTTTATAATTTTATGAAATATACTTTACTCCTCTAAATCAAAAGCTTCATTCTTTGAAAATGCTGCTTTATATCTATGAAATTTTAATTGTGACTAATATAAACTTGAAAAAATGGGTTTTCATATTCTTAATGAAATAAATGACTATTAACATTCAGAATTTTATTGTAAAAGTGAAATACTCTGTTGTTTCTACTAGGCAGTATTTTTTTAGCATATATTATATTTGTTTGTTTATATTTTTTGATGCTGGGCTTGGATTCAGGGACTGGGCACTGTCCCTGAACTTTTGTGCTTAAGTCTAGCACGCTACCAGTTGAGACAGATCCACTTCTGGCTTTTTTGGTAGTTAATTGGAGTTAAGAGTCTCATGGACTTTCTGCCTGGTCTGGCTGTGAACCATAATCCTCGCAGCTAGTATTACAGGCATATGTGACCAGCACCCACCTACTCTTACCTTTTATTTTAATTGTTATATTTTATATCTCCAAGTATTATGATTTTTTAAATAGCCTTAGTTTTAAAAATAGGCTCAAAATTTTAAGCTGTAAATCAATGAATTCTGTGTTATACATGGGTACATCACATATATTCTCTAATTTTCACAACTTATAAGTTTCAGGTCTCTCTGTTTTTAATACGTATTTTCTACATTTTTTTCTTTTGTTTTGTGGTGTGTTGGTTATTGAACCCCAAGCCTCATGCAGGCTAGACAAATGCTCTACCACTAAGCTGCATCTCCAGCTATAAAGCATATTTTCTTAAGTACTGTTTGATAGCAAAACTGTTCCCTCACATCCATATTCAGTAAGGATCAAATGACACATAGGGAAACTTCTAGTCAGAAAGAAAACAATAGTCTGGCTAAAAGTTTCATTGGAGGGCTGGGAAGGTAGCTCAGTGGTAAAACGCATGCCTTGCATGCATGAGGCCCTGGGCTCGATTCCTCAGCACCACATAAGCAGAAAAAGCTGGAAGTGGCGCTGTGGCTCAAGTGGTAGAGCGCTAGCCTTGAGCTCAAGAGCTGAGGGACGATGCGGAGGCCCAGAGTTCAGGTCCCGTGACTGACAAAAAAAATTTTTTTTTCAGTGGAAACTGTTTTATTAAATGACGATAGCTCTGTACAATAACTTACAAATAATGAAGAAAAGTCAGAATCTAAGCCCAAGTTGTGTTTTTAAAGAGGGAGAGGGTAACAAGTTCAACAAGAAATGTACTCACTACCTTACTGTAACCTCTCTGTACATCACTTTGACAACAAAATTAAAATTTTTTTAAAAAGCAAGTTGTAAATGGTTTCTGGATTTGGGAAGCATCTTGTCAGATTCTTACAGCTATTTTTAAAAGATAAATAATTAGACTCTGGATTTGAAACACTAGGTATCTTTCTAAACAAAATGAGAATGTTCCTTCAGTAATTCTATAATGACATTTTACCTTTCTTAAGTTTGTCTCAATAACATCCTCAGTAAAATTACTTGAAAAACTAATAACATAGTAAGTTAAGTTATTGCTTACAGGATGGGTATGGGCTGTATAGATCACTGGCTCTTCATCACAGACAGGTCATTGTTACCTGGTCTTGATGTACCTGCTTGTAAATGATGCCAGGCCATTATTAAATTACCTATAGATAAGGTAATGTGTCTATCACAAGACCACCTTGGAAATTAGCAAGAAATTAGAAAAGAACAGTAGATCCAGATAGCTTATTAAAGGTAATTTTCAGAAACACAGAAGGTATTTAGGCTGAATGTCCAAACTTCCTTTGATTGTATAGGACCAATATGGTGACCAAACTAAGCAACAGTCTCTTAAGAAATCATATATACACAAGAAAACATTTATAACTAGCCTCTCAGACTGGGAACTTGTGTCACAGCTGCTAAAAGGCATCCTTTGAAACTTTCTGTGGTAACCTGTAACTTCCATAAGATGTACAGAAGCCTTAAATCATTTTCAATGAAACTACTTGATCACATCTTTCTGGAAGCCTGGTTCCTTTGTATAAAAAAGTAAATTCATATAAACAAACATGACAAAAAAAAACATCATGGCATCCTCTATCATTTCATTCTCACATTTATTCAGTGTAACCAAACGTAAATATTTTGGTTAGTGGTTTTACCTGAAGACTGAACAAAAAAGTAAAAAGAACTGCAGCCAGCACAAAGGAATAAAGCCTGCCAAACAGCCACAGATATGAACAAGTAAAATTATTAAATATTTTAAATCATTTTAACCTGAGTGCGGCACTTCCTTGAACTTATCAGACATTCAGTGATAACTGAAGTTGTAGAAAATTCCAGCTTTGGAGCAATTCCCTGGAATTTAAAAAGAAGATAGGATTAGACATTTCAATTTTAAAAGAGACAATTACTGCCTAAAGTAATCATCTCTTAGCTTGAACTTTTTATTAGAGATAAAGTCAAAATAGTAAAGCTAAATCTTAGCAGGAAACAGTTTCATTGTTGATGATTACATTCAAACAAACTGAAGACTGTTAATCTACAGTACAATCCTCAATGAATTTCAACTTTTTTAACTGTTAGAACTATTTAACTATTTGACCAAAAAGTGTGTGTGTATGTATGTGTGTGTGTGTGTGTGTGTGTGTGAGAGAGAGAGAGAGAGAGAGAGAGAGAGAGAGAGAGGGTGGGTTGTGGCTCAAGTGGTAACTCCTGCCTATTAAGTACAATTTCCTGAGTTTAAAACTTATTTTTTTCAAAAGAAAGGAATATGTTAATTAGCTTCATAAAGTCATTTCACTAGATAGATGATAGATACATACATACATAGACACATTGACCATATTGCATTACTATAAACATGAAATATGTATAGTCTCACAAACATAACTCCTCATGCCTCCTGTGTATGCAGTTTTTTAAATAGTATACCCTGTAGTATAATTCACATTTTCACATTCAAATCTATTAATGCCAACCAATACTCCCTGCCCATAGCTTCTGTTCTACCACAGCAGAAGTCAGACATGTCCAACAACCCAATCCTACAAATCTAGCCTGTGAGTAAGTTTAATGTTTAAGATGTTTTATCCATTATAGGATTTGCATAAGGGCTGAAATATTGTTTTCTACAAACATATGTTTTAATATTTACTATGCCTGATTGTTAGACATCTATTACTACTCCATATCTAGCAGTTTAAAATATCAGTTAAAAGAATGGGCATGGTGGTTTATGCTTGTAATTCCAGCTTCTTGGAAGGTGGAGGCAGAAAGACTGTCTATCAAAGCTAACTCAGGTGAAAAAGAGAAAGATCATATATCAGAAAAGAAGCCAGGTCTAGTGGTTCATGTTTGTAATTTCAGCTACACGGGAGATACAGGGAGGAAGACTGCTGTCAGAGGCTGCCTGTGGACAAAAAGTACAATACCCTGTCTGAAAAATAACTGAAGTCTAAAGGCTAAGATGTGGCTCAAATGGGAAAGTGCTTGCTTACTAAGTGTAAAGCTCTGAGTTCAAAATCCCAGTACAAGGAAATAAAGAAAAAAAATAAAACACTAGCAAACATTTATTATCCCAGAGAGTTTCTATGGTCCAGCAATCTAGCAGAGGTTGAGCTATGGATTTCTAGCTTAGAATTTTTCACAAGATTTAGTCGAGGCATAATTTGGTCAACTGAAGGCGTGACTGGGGCTTGACATCCTCCTTCTCAAGAAGGTTCATCCCCACTGCAGCTGGCCGGAGACCTCAAGTCCCTTCTTACTTTTTCCAAAAAGACTTACCTACTCATCATAAATGCCTCTCCATAGGACTTTCGGGTGTCTTCATGACATGGTGACAAGTTCCCCAATGTGAGCCTCAAGGCAAAACATGAAAGAAGCTACAGCGATAAAGTCTCAGGAGTCCTGCACTGTTAAATCGGTGACATTCTGTCCTGTGGCAGGTAAGCACAGATCACACTCCAGGACACTGGAGCTGGGCTGCCTTTCTAAAGGAGCATTTCCAAAGTATTCGTGTATAAGGTTAAAGTTTAAAGTCTGCCCTCTGGCAACAAATTACTCAAATTCCTCTTCCATGCAAAACATACTTGCCCTCAACCATCAAATAAAAGGAATTGTGAAGAAAGAAAGAAAAAAAATATTGGCAGATTGAATTCCACAATGTCTACATGTAAACCAAATCGTAGCATAGATAGGCTTCCCTCACTCATCCAACAAAAGGAATTGTGAAGAAAGAAAGAAAGAAAACATTGGCAGATTGAATTCTACAATGTTTACATGTAAACCAAATCCTAACATAGATAGGCTTTTGGAGTATGTGGGCCAGTACAGCTTCTATTTATATCAAAAAAAAGTTACCTTTGCGGCAAGCAAAGAACAATCACAACAGGCATTCCTGTTTACCAGGGAGGAATGGAAATAATCAGGAATCACTTGGTCTATAAAAATTCTGAAATCCAGAGAAATGTTGGACATTCCTTAACTAGAGCTTGGTCTTATTATTCTCAGAACTATCCATGGTTTTTGGCTTGATGGTGTGGAGTCTTCTTCCATCCTCTAATCATAATTCTTTTGAATTGTGATTATAGATCAACAGGAGCTGTCCAGAGTTCTGAGCTTGGTTCCTGTCAATAGAATATCGGGATTCAAAGGTCTTTTTATTTTGTGATGCCTCTCTTCATTTCAGAAAAAACTATCTCTAAAAGATTTTTGGAGGCATGATGAGCTTTGTTGGGGTTCCCTCCATTAAAGCAAAGCCACAATCTAATCTATACTGGGGCCCACCTTTCTCGGTAGGATTCTTCTGAGAGTCCTGAGAGATAATGCCCAGTAGCAAACCCACATTTTCCAAGCAATATGAAGTTTTAATGAAGAATTTTACAGTTGCAGCTTCAGCTTCATCAGACCAAAGTTTTCTGCAAGTGGACTAGAATGTGATTTTCTCAGCAGTTATTTCTTAATTTCAGCAATGTCTGCCAGCAAGAAAAACTAGGAATCGTGTGAAATACTAAGATCCTTTACCTCTTTCTGTTCTATAAGCAGCCCAAGGTTACAGACAACTTCTTTAGCACTGTTTGAAAGCCTCTATTTACTGCTTCCACATTCTTGCAGGTGACTGTGATGTTATACCTGCTGCCATTACACAGCAAAGATTCCCTTTCTGGCTAGCTTCCAATAACCTCCACCTCACTTTTCCACAAATGGATATCTGACAGCTTCTTCAAGGATTTTCAAGGTTTAACAAACATCCTAACAAAGTCCTTCCAGCTTCTGCCCTCTCCAGAGAGTTCTTCAGTGTCCTCACACAGAAAGCTGGTTTCTGCTGAAAAAAGGGATGTAAGAGACACTAAGAAAGGGAGGTGCCAATATTTTCAACAACCTGGTTTCAAAAGTCCACTACTATTGATCTATTGTTACATTTATCTGCCATGACTAACAGGAATGAAACTAGTTTTGTTCTTGGAAGAGATAGATATCAAAGAATTTCTGGACATGTAGGCATATGTCTTTTAATGATGGAAACAAAGGATATGTCTCAAGAAATGAGCCATTATGTGATTCCATTATAGTGTAAATGTGTGTGTGTGTGTGTGTGTGTGTGTGTGTGTGTGTGTATTTACAAACCTGGACCGTATGGCCTATTTACACTTATATATGGCCTCGCCACCAGTGTGTATGCAGTCCATCACTGACCAAAATGCCATGATTAAGTACATAGCTGCATTGAATATGATTTCTATCAAACTATGGTATCATCTTAACCTTCCCCATACATTGCTGTCACATATAAGTACTCAATATGCTAGCATTATTTTTACTAACCTTTCAGAAACTAGTTACATCTCCAAAGAAATACAACTAATAGGACAATATGCATACACGTGTCAATTTTTGTTTTAATTAATTACTTCACACAGTTGTGGGAGATGGCAAATCTGAAATTCATAAGGGAAGGATAGAAAGGCAGAAACTGTGAAAAAGTTGATAGCAATATTGAGTGTGAAATGTGTAGGGCAGGTTGGCAAATCAGAAACAGGATTTCTGTTATCGTCCTGGATTATAATCCCTCCTTATTCACAGAAGCATTGTTTCTGCTCTTCAGGTCATCTGATAAGAAGTCCATTCACATTGTCACAAATAATGCTGTATTTAAAGCCAATTGATTATAAATCTTAATCAAATCTACCAAAGAGCTTTATAGTAACATTTAGATTAGTATTTAGTCAAACGATTGTGCCCATGTTCTAGCCAAATTGATACATAAATGAATTATCACCTTAAATGTCAGTTCCTCTATGAATTCTACAGTAAGATGCATATCATTCATTCAGTTTAACTAGGAGGTATTTATTAAATACTGCTCCTTGCTAAGTATTATGCTAAGGATTAAGATCTAAAAGTGAGAAGGCAACAAATTCTGCTTTTATGGACTTTTCAGTGTAGGGAGAGCTATCATTATTATTCCCACCATCCCATCACCACTACCACCATGACATCCACAGGTTTATGATCTTCTTTATGTGTCAGGTACTGCTATAACTACATACAAGGTAACATTAATTACCCAAGAATCCTGTGATAATCAACAGTTACCATGCCTTGCCCAACATTACTCAGTAAATTCATGATAGTGCCAGGAATTGATCCCTGATATACTCTGAACCCCTGACACAGAGGTGAGCTCAGTACAGCCTAGGACTCACAGCTGATAACTCAGAATCACAAAAATTCTGCATTTTTGTCTGCTGGACCACAGACTATTTACTAGAATATTTCTCACTTACATGTAAATGTAAGTATTGATATGGCTGAATTTAATCTGCCATTTTTCTATTCAGTTTACAAATGTTCCACATCTTTATTATTCTTTGATTCTTTCTAGGGGTACATGTGTATATGCATAGCTAAGAAGTGATCTAATGGACTGGTAAGAGTTGCACATATTCTGTGTGTGGGATAGGGATTACATTCAAAGCTACAGTCAGTTTCCCTGGGATTTCATTTATTTGCTGGGATCTGACTGTCTCCCCTGAGCATGGAGTTTCCTGAGCAGCCAGGAAGGGGTGGAGAGCTTATCTAAATCCTTACTGCATCCTGCCTCCAGGATCTCCCATCAACTTCCTGGCAGGTGTGCTGTTCACCCCAATTAGTACTGAAAGTGACCTAGCAAAGCTGTGGGGTTTCTTCATCTGCTTCCAGCTGAATATGCCAGGTTTACTTGCCATACAATATACCCCATTGCCTAAAATTGAGAGTCTAACCCCTCTGGAAGTAAAGCTGCTGGGTTTGTGCCCAGCCACAGGCAGATGAAGCTATACTCGTCATTGAGCAAATAGGGTACAGGTTGCTTGCCTGAGCAAGCACCTCAGGCAAGAAAGCCACAAATTCCTGCCAAGTTTACCTTGCACTTTAGCAATTTTTCAAGCATGAAAACTCCATTTGTCTTGTCCTACTTGATGGTCAATATTTAGTGCCCTTAAATTGTTTTTAACAATTTTATCCAGTTGTATACTTGTTGAATGTGCAGGAAATCTTCATAGTACCATTATTACAAGTCAAAATTTTTTTATATAAGTTTGGCCTTAATAATCCAATATCTTCCAAATATATACAAAAGTCCATGCTTGAGTTTACATTGCATCTCAGTATAATATAACATTTTAAGTGATCATACATTTAAAATTTGATTCATTTTTCATTCTGGGTTACCATATGGACCTCGAAATAATCTTTGAAGAAATTTATAGTACCAAAGCTGGCTAATGTATACCAAAAATATTCCAAAGGAGAAAACATTTCAGAGAATTACTAATTAGTCAACATTTTTATGCTTTTGATGAGGTGAAGTTGCTATTTCTTTGAGCAGAGACTATCATAAATCTAGACCTATAGGTGAAATTCTTTCATCTACTACATTGGTTCCTGCTCCTTATTCACATTATTCTAAGATTTATATAGTTAGTTTAAAAAACTGTTTGTCCAAATAAGTTCAAGCTAGTCAACATTTACTTTTCCTTCTCTGAAATAGCATGGGCTTCTCTCAGCTTTCCTCAGTGAAGATGAGTTTCAGGGATGATGAGTTTTGTTAAAAAAATGGGCACACAGAAGTTGAAAGAAGAGGTAGGAAAAGATAGGAGAATGAACTGTCCCTTAACACAGCTCTTAATTTAGGTATATGAAAGTGTGTGTGTGTGTGTGTGTGTGTGTGTGTGTGTGTGTGTGTGTGTGTGTGTGTGTGTGTGTGTGTGTGTGTGTGTGTGTGTTATATGTTGGGTTTGGGGTTTTTTTTGACAGTACAGGGTACTTACCTAAGAGCCTCTCACTTGCTAGTCAGGCACTCTATCACTTGAGCAACACTTCCAGTCTTGTGTGTAACTGGTTATATTTCAAGGTAGGTCTCACTTTATGCCCAACTTTATGCCCAAGCAGGCCTGGGCTAAGATTCTACTATATGTGCTTCCCAGTATGGCTGGGGATGACAGGTAAGGGTACCCAGCCATTGTGCTTCCCCTGTTCCTAGGATAACAAACCCATGCTGCTGTGCCCGGCCTTTGAGTAAGATGGAGTCTCATGTATTTTTATGACTAGGCTGGCCTTGAACCTCAGCTTTCCCAATCTCCACCTCCCAAGTGGCTTGAGCCACTGTACCTTGCTATATATGTCTGTTCTATAAATATTTTCCAATTTATATCCTATTTTGTATTAACTGGCACTCCAAACATTTTCATGTTTCATTATTATTAACAATACTATCAGACGTGCACCAATGACTCACTCCTGTAATCTTCAGGAGGCTTGGATTACAGTTTGAAGCCAATCTAGGCAGGAAAGTCCATGAGATTCTCACCTCCAATTAACTATCAAAAATCTAGAAGTAGAGCTGTGGTCCAAAGGGTAGACTGATAGCCTTGAGCAAAAAAAAAAAACCCTCAGAAATAGCACCCAGGTCCTAGGTTCAAGCCTAGCACAAAGCAAAAAGCAAAGCAACAACAAAAAGACAATACTATTTTTAAAAACAAAAACTTCTAGTATACCAAAGAGAATATCTAGACCATCTGCTATAAAACTGTTAACAAAAAATCTGAATTTTGATTGTTATAATTTACATAGCATACCAATATAACAAAATTTCCTTTATTTTATACTTCTAATATCAAGTTTATTTAATTTTGTTGATCAATCTTAGGGATATAAAATAAAATCTGATGATTGCAAATGTTTGGTGGTCAATTCTTATATACATAGAGAAAAGAAAGAGAAGTAGTTGGGATAGAGATGGAGAGGAGAAAAGAGACAACAAGTATGAGACAATGCAACTATGAAAATGGAATAAGTATTGGAGTGTAGTAGAGTGCAAACGTGTGTGATGTAAAAATGAAATCCCACCTCATTGTATAACTGATATTAACCAAGAGAAAAGACCAAAGTCAATGTAATACTTGTTAGTTTTGGACACAATCCATGAAAATTGTTAAGTATTTTTCATTACATTTCATTACATTTAAGTTTTAAACCAAGTTAAACTTGTACTGAGTTTGTCAAACTGATGATGTTGAAGGCTATATCTGGTTGGTATGACAGTGACTCTGTACCTAATGCTGAATGAAGACAGTTAATACTTACTCTTAGGCCAGAAATCCTCCTCATGGTCACCTGGCGATTTGAATCATGGTGTCCAGATATTTGGTTTGGACCCGGGAACATAAAATCTCGCGTATTTTCATCATAGGTAGACAGTGTTTCACCCACTATAAGAAAGATATCCTATGATTCAAATTATAACAAAATGTTCTATTTAGAAACAAAATCACCAAGTATAATGTATATATATTGCCTGATGCCTTATTTGAAAACCTGCTTCAGGAGCATGTTTATCTTCTATGAAAGGAAAATTAAAATATGTATATATTTAATATGATAACACATTTTCATTTTCACATGTATGCTACATATTAGTCACTCTACCGGTCCCCTACATTTAGAGAATGAGGCTACTCATGGAAACTTAGTAAATACTATGAGTTCCAAGGGAAAAAGTAACTTTTTAAAAAATAAAGACATTTTTGTAAAGATATAAATATTTGCATATTTAAATTCCCATCTAATTCCCATCATTATGCTTTTTCTATCTCTCATTTTTCCTCTGTCACTATAAAATAAATGTAAAATCATGTGTTAAAAATAGAGATATTTTCAAATAAAAAAGAGATATTTTCTAATATATGTGGCTAACTGAATTATAAAGACATATAATATTCACATGGTCCAGTTGTTAGCATTTAGTAAATTATAAGTTTCCAACTGTCACATAAAATAAGGATTTGATTAGGGCAAATTTTTTTCTATAATCACAAAAATGAGTGGAAATAAAACCACCCACTATATTTTAATGACCTAACTCCCTCCTACTGAAATCTGAGGTGTTTACCACATAAGTAAGAAGTTCTGTTGTCCTCCACTCCCACTCCACTCAAAAATAGTCATTACCTGCTTTATCAATAAAAATATATCGTTTAAGAAAAATTTCAAAAACTGAAAACCATTTTATGGCTGTCACAAATATCTGAAAATGGTAACAGGTTATTTTCCACTTTCAACTACTACTATTAGTTCAATGTGTTCAAGAAAGATATGTTCAAATGTCATTTATGTCAATCATTTAGTATATATTATTTTGGTCTACTGCCATTTGATTGATGATGAAGAACATTTTTCTAATTCATGCTTAAAAATGGTCTAAACTTGCTCCCTCTTAAAGTGATATCCCAGGTCTGTTACTTTATCAATATGTAATACAGTACCTGGTGGAACTAGCTGTATCAACTCAAATACTGCTGTGTCATCTGAAAAGTAAAAGAAAAATTAATGACAAATAACAATGTTACTTTAAAAGTCCAATCACTGTGTATTATCTATGTGCATGGCTGTACCTTAGTAATTACATATTTCTATAAATATATATTATGCCTATTTCCTAATCAAAGTGGTAAGTACTGCTGGGTATAATACAAATGTTTTATAAAACATAATATATCATACATTACTAACACATATATTATGTATAATATATTAATATATCATGTCATCATATATTATGTTATTAATATGTCACATTATTAGTAATACATTTTAATTTATATTTTATAATATATAAATATTTTAAAATAACAATTTGAAATATTTTGTAATAAAGGTATAAAAATAAAAATAAATTATGCCCTCTCTATTTTCTAAAACCCATGTAAAAACTGAGGTTTTCTGGCCTTGGGAAGATAAGGAAGGGGAATCTGGATATAAATGTCAATAGACTGATGAACTGGCTAGGTTATAGTTTTGGTTCACTGATAATAAATCCTAAGAATAAAGGGTAAAATAAAACAATAGATAACCATTTGTAAATTAAGCCCCAAATTTAGATATCTCAAATTCTGTTTGAATTTAGGTAATTCAAAATTCCCAATGTCCCCTAGCAACCTGCTAAAACAATGACAAACCCATCTGAAGGAAAACATGACTTCACACATACGACTTCGATCTACTCTGAATTTGTCTTTCAATCAAAACCAACTGAGTATACAGGGAAATTGATAATTAGGAATAAAAAGGCCTGAAAAATAACAAGAAATAGAAGCAGCAACAGAAGAAAATTTTAATATTAAAATCTGATTAAGGACCTTACAGGAAAGGAAAATGACCATCTATTTAGTAAACATAAATTCCTAAACTAAATACTTTCTTTTTTTTTAGTCCGGTCGTGAGGCCTGAACTCTGGGTCTGGGCACTGTCCCTCAGCTCTTCAGCTCAAGGCTAGTGCTCTACCACTTGAGCCACAGCGCCACTTCCGGCTTTTTTCTTTTTGCTTATGTGGTGCTGAGGAGTCGAACTCAGGGCCTCATGCATGCAAGGCAAGCACTCTACCACTGAGCCACCTTCCCAGCCCATAAACTAAATATTTTCAAATCACATCCATCAATATAGAAATACTACTTAATATTTAAAAAAAAACCAAGTTGCATGCTGGGTACAAGTGTCTCCTGCCTTTAATCCTAGTATTCAGGAGACTGAGATAGACATGAAGATCGTGGTTCAAAGCCTGGGAAGGAAAGTCCATGAAACTCCCATCTTCAATTAACTGCCAAAAGGCTGGAAGCAGAGCTGTGGCTCAAGTGGTAGAACACTAGCCTTAACAAGTAGAAAAGGTCAAAAGCTATGTACATATGACCAGATAAGATGATGTTAAGTGAAATGAACCCCAAGATAGGGACACAAATGGTTTTGTCTTTCTTGCTATTGTTTTTAATGTATTAATAATGTACTATGTGATTTTTTTTTTTGTTTCTTTGTTATGTTCCTGCCCCACAGTATAACCCCTGTTTCCACTGTATTTGATTCCGGTGCCCTGCATCTTGTATATACATTTTTCTATATTGAGGAGGGGAAGGGAAAAAAACAAAATGCTTAAATGGGATAAAGGTGGACCCATTGTAACAATGAGATGTACAAGTAGCTGGGGAGGTGGGGACAGAAGGGATGGTAGGGAAAAAACAAAGGAGGAGGCAACAATACTTGATAGGAAATGTACTCATTACCTTACTCATGTAACTGTAACCCCTCTGTACGGTATTTTCACAATAAAAACTTATTTAAAAAAAAGAAAATACCTGAGCTTCCATTAAATCAAATTAAGTATAAGCAGCTAAGACAGCTCAGTTGTATGACTGAAGAAATTAAGTGAATTAAACATAATCTTAGGATAAGCTCAATGTCTTAAGTTTTCCATACATATTACATTGTATTTTCCTGGTGCTTATTTTGCAACCTTGGTTAGTGGAAAACCATGACTAAAAGGAGAAAGTGTTTTTTTAAAGGATATGCATTACTTACTACCGTTTAACTGTATCATCTGCAGTTGAGATTGAGCTTCTATGAGCTTCACACAAATCCTCAAAACATTCCTAGCCTTTACTTTACAGATAAGAAACGTAGTCTAAAGGGTAATGTTACCCAAAAATGATAACTTGGTGAGATGAGGTATAACTGCGTCCAAATCCTAAGCTATTTTCACTAACAACTCTACTGGAACTGGAAAGCAGTGATTTATAAAATAAAGGGAAGATGTGGAAGCTTCCCTTTAAGATAGTGGTAGGGGCAGTGATGAAAACAGTATTTCTGTAATAGGAACATCGAACATCTGGCATGCTATAAACAAGTAGCAATAAGGGACACTAAAGAATCTGTGGTTCATCATGGCATGGTTCTGAGGTGCACAAAGAGCACAAGTAGGCAGAATATGGACACTCTACCCTCTAAGACACAGAAGTAAGGTAAAGATGGACAACTACTTGGTGACTTTTAAAATAAAGTGAAGTAATGCTCACCACTAAGCCTTCAGTGAATCAGTGAGGCAAAGTGTCCCTTCATTTCAGGAATGCAGTAGTTTAATTTAAACAAGGGGACATCTGCTATAAAAAAATGAATGATGTGTTCAGAATACCAATTTTAGAAATTAGACAAAGTGCTAAAAGATATAAAAAGGCCAAAAAAGCAATTGTGATGACACCAATTTCCAGGTCACAAGAGTCTGGCAGTAACTAAAAATCAGCTAGTAAAAAGCAAGGAAACAAGTTGTAGTTCTGACTGAGGAATAGGCATTTACTAAAAATCTCTATATGTGCCGGGCGCCGGTGGCTCATGCCTGTAATCTTAGCTACTCAGGAGGTTGAGATCTGAAGATCACAGTTCAAAGCCAGCCCAGGCAGGAAAGTCCATGAGACTCTTATCTCCAATAAACCACTTAGAAAAACAGAAGTGGCACAGTAGTTCAAGAGGTAGAGCGCTAGCCTTGAGCTGAAGAGCTGAGGGACAGCATTCAGGCCCAGTGTTCAAGCCCCATAACCGAAAAAAAAATAAAGTCTCTTATATGTCAGCTCTCATGTAATATCTGATGTACAGTAAAAATAAGATTTGCAAAGAAAGTCACAAGTGTCAGAACCAACACAGAGAATGCGCCTTTTTTAAACAACCATATCAGTTTTTCTTTTTCTTTTTTTGTCAGTTGTGGTGCTTGAACTCTGGGCCTGGGTGCTGTCCCTAAGCTCTTCAGCTCAAGGCTAGCATTGTACCACTTGGGCCACTGTGCCACTTCCGGTTTTCCGGTGGTTTATTGGAGATAGGTATCTCACTGACTTTCCTGTTTGGGATGGCTTTGAACCATGATCCTGAGATCTCAGACTCCTGAGTAGCTAGCCACTGGCACCCAGCCCTATTTCAGTTTTATATGTGACTCCTAACCTCCATGATCAGGAAATAAACCATTAAATTTCAAGAATCAGAAGTGTTACAAGCTAATCTTATGATCAAAATGAAAAGAAAAATTTCAACATATCTAAATCACATGAAAAATATGTAACGTTCAAAATAAAGGTTCAGTAAAATGACTGGATAGGAAATCAGTACTTTTGGTCATGGTCCCATACATCAATCACAAAAATGAAAAGAGAAAACAAATCATGTGAGGATCTTATTCCCCACATCAACAAGAAACATAGTAGTTAGAAATAAACATAGTTTAAATAGTATGAAAAATATAAACACACACCCCCCAGAATTTTATGAGATTGAAAGAATGTAAGTTCAAATAAATCAATATAGATTACATGTCTGAATAGGAAGAATAAAGGAAAAATGGCAATTATCCTCCTTAAATATAATCAAAATTTCATCTCAAAGATACATCCTTGGTCTTGAAAAACAATTCAAAGCTTACACATAAAAAGAAACATACACATAAAAAATTCAAGTTTACACATAAAAAGAAACATGGCTCATGTCTGTAACCCTAGCTAGTATGGGGGCAGTGATCAAGAAGATAGCGGTTTAAGGGAAAACTGGGCAAAAATTAGTGAAACCTCATCCTAAAAAACAAGCTACTTGTTGTAGTTCTTATTTGTAATGCTAGGTAGGAAACATAGGTAGGAAGAATGAGTTCTGGGGCAGGCCTTGGACAAAAAGTACAAAACCCTTCTCTAAAGAAAAAGAGAGCTGAAAACCTGACTCAAGTGGTAGAGTTTCTGCCTATAAGGTCCTGTGTACTGAAAAAAAAGTAATGTGACTGATAAGAACTGCCCAATAAGAGAAAATTAGAATAATTAAGCCGGGCGCTGGTGGCTCACGCCTGTAATCCTAGCTACTCTCAGGAGGCTGAGATCTGAGGATCACGGTTCAAAGCCAGCCCAGGCAAGAGAGACCGTGAGACTCTTATCTCCAATAAACCACCAGAAAACCGGAAGTGGCGCTGTGGCTCAAGTGGTAGAGTGCTCGCCTTGAGCTGAAGAGCTGAGGGACAGCGCCCAGGCCCAGAGTTCAAGCCCCACGACCGACAAAAAAAAAAAAAGAAAAGAAAATTAGAATAATTAAACAGACATAATGGTGGAGGAAGGGGAACAAAGGTACAGAGAAAGGATCAGGGCAGAAGAATAATAGAGAAAACATTTATGTTTCTATATTGACAATTACACATTCTAATGAGAAATCTAAGCAAATCTGGAGAAACCTTTTAATTACTTGTACAGAGAGAATGAAGAATTATGGAATTAAGATCCAGGAAAAAACTAGGGATAGTTGAGGCAGATGCTGGAGTTCATGTTCCTTAAGAACATCTACTAATTCCAGAAAAAGCATCTGAAAGACTCAAAAATCTTACCCAATGTACAATGTCTCACAGACCTAGAAGCAAACTGTAGATGTGGGGTCTACTACAATGGAGAGGCCTGCATATAGCATCCTCATTGTGAACCGAGTCTGTCTAAAGGTATGAACCGAACAATAAAAAACTGAGTTTCAA